TATAACTTGTTGTTTTTCAATGTCCACATTTTTTTCAAAGGAACATTATGTTTTTTTGTCTGGCACTAGCAAGTCAGAGTGCATTACACAGTGCATTGCAGCTAGTGATGAGTACGACTTGCTTGAAATTTGGCTGTGACTTGCTAGTGCTAAGCATGTGACTTGCCTGCTCTGCATCTGTGATTTGCCTATTTTGCATTTTGTGATTTATCTGACACACAAACCTTTTCCCCCTCCCTTACTATGTTTTCCAAACAACAAACCTGTAACTTGTGTGTTTCAATGTCCACAGTATTCAAAAAACATTTTTTGCATGCTTCCTATAAAGGAACACAAGGTTTTTTCTACCCTCGCAAGTCAGAGTGCATTACAGAGATTTGCCTATTGGGGTTTACTGAACTTGCCCAAAATAACTGCCATAAGTTGTTGACGGTTTTTTGCTCTCGATAAATCAAACTGAAGAACCAACCTAATACAAGGACTCAAGGAGGGGTTGCATGCATAACATCCAAGTTGCATGCATAACACTGATGCCTTTTGTGTTTCCTTGTCGCAGGGATCAGGGCATAGTGGCACACCCCCAAGTTGTCCAGATAGAGAGGTGGCGCACGGAAGGTTCAAGTGCTGATGGTTGGGTGGATGGATCCTGCAGAAGATGGAGGAGGAAGGGGTTGATGGGGAAGAAAGGGTGGAGGAGGAGCGGGGAAGGGAGAAAAGTCTCCAGAGGTTTTGTGCCGTGTGTTCACACACACTGGGTTGCGTCGGTTACGATTGGGAGAAAAGGAAATCTGGCCATGTGCACGATCAGATCGTTTCTTTCCTTTTTTGACGCCAGCTGGCAACAAGAGAGGGTCCACTGCCTTATTTAGGGCGTGTGCCCTGGACCGCTAGCTAGCCAACGGTTGCTGGCTAGTCGCGTCCTTTTTTTAGATAGAACACAAGAATTGGCATAGTGTGATTACACCTTTGCTCACTGAACACTTGAATAACCGGAATCATCAAAGACCATGACTTCTGGTACAAACATGCCATATTCAAAACTACTTGTGCTTCATCTTTTTGAGAACAGTGCTACCTCTCTTTTTTTTGTGCGTGGGTTCCGTGGCAACACACGGGCGCCTAACTAGTTCTAATTAAACAAGGGATATAGGGAGCGGTGACCCGTCTTTTGAATACGACGCACAAAATAAAAAATAATCAAATTACACGGATAGCGAATTTTTTCAGGAATTTAAATTTCTTATTTTAATCTATCTTTTCTTTAGTTGCTTAGGAAG